ATTTCCATTTAAAGTTGAGTTTAAGAATCATACCACGTTACTTGCTTGTCTGCTATCAAACCAACTATGGTCTCCAAGAGTCTGACTGCAAACATTCAACCTGATGTTATACAGGCTGGTTGTGAGGCGAGTACTTACAAAGTGGACTATTCAATGAACACGTGACTTTCCTAATCTGCTCAGAAGATCGCCATCAAAGAAACATAACCACTCTGAAGACTCTCATGAAGACCCAGAACTGCAAATACTTGTAATTCCTGTAGGAGTAGGATGATGATAACTGATATTAGTTCGGCAGATCCTGATGATCCGTGTACTCATGTAGCTAGATCCGGGAGTTTATCCAAGCATATGGCAATCTGACACAGAGATTCCTGAGTATAATCAAGGCAAATTTCTGTCACAACAACCCGCTATATTTTCTGTAGCAAATACCAAAACAAAGACAAACATTGACAACTTTGGATGGTGCGATCGCGTTAAGAAACATCTTTTCAGCTAATCAGCCTTCACTGCTCAATCATGTTGTGCTGAATGTATTTACTTACTAAGAAGTTGCCAAGAGCAAATTTTGCGTTCAACGCTTTACTTGTCGTACGTTCACCTGACATAGCTTAACTGGCAACTTCATCGCCTCTTGGACACGCAGACAGTTGGTGTGAAATCGTCCATATGCTTCATTCGAGGGCCTATCCAAAAGCAAAATTTTTCAATAGGAAAGTATGCGTTGCTCGTGATTTGTCAAATTCAACTTCTTCTGTTGAGATGTGGTCTTTATTTACTGAAGGACCTCCCAAGTGGACCGAAGTGATCGACGCCTCCTTTAGACGAGATTCGATGATCTCTTTTAATTAAGGTCTTTTGTTTGGGAGTGAGTCACGTTTCCTTTTTTCAATTTCGGATTTTGAAAAGAAGTAGAAATATTTTTTGTATTAGAAATAGCGATGCGTCTACAAATGCTTAACTTCTAACAAACCGAGAATTGATCAATTTGAAAATATGCGGCCATAAATTAAATTTTAAATTACTGGAATGCGTAAAGCAATGTCTTGACAACTGAAATAAAAGCGGTGCAGTTTGCATATGATTTCTTGCTTGCTCACTTAATACAATTAAATATTCTTAATTTAAATATCGTGTGTCATTCTTGGTTTCACATACATTACAAAGCAGAAATCAATTTTCTTTAAGGAGTCTGTTCAACTGCCATCGAATTTTCTAAATCAAAATTGATTTAAGTCTACACTTTAAGTCTAATTAATGTTTGATTAGTTCAATTAGTTAAATTGTGTGTTTCATCATTTTTCCCCAACCAAAATGTAGGTGCAGATAATTTTTCACTGTCTCCTACATTTGCCTTCTCCATGAAAGAAGAGGTTGTCAATCAATATCTATTTATTTCTATTGGGTTGGCAACTACGTCATTGCCGTTTTTGTTGACGGATTCACTCTATACTTTCATTCTTACTGTATGGGCTTCTAGGTTAGTTAGTAAAAAATTTTTTTGTTTAGTTCTTTAGCTTTGATCTAACTTATATTTTTTTCTTACTGTATGGGCTTCTATGAATTAGTAAAAAATATTTTTTGTTTAGTTCTTTAGTTTTTAATAAGAAAAAAATTTTTTTTTAGTTCTTTCGTTTTGTTTTTATCCCAATTTAAAAATGAAAGAACAAGACGTGCCCTTCCGACACATTTTATTGTATTACTTCCGAAAAGGCAAGAACGCATCGCAAGCACAAAAGAAGTTATGTGCCGTATATGAAGATGAAGCCTTAAAAGAAAGGCAGTGTCGAAATTGGTTTGAAAGATTTCGTTCCGGTGATTTTTCACTGAAAAATTCACAACGATCTGGCCGCCCAGTCGAAGTGGATGAAACCCATATCAAGGCCATTATCGATTCAAATCATCACAGCACAACATGAGATATTGCAGAGAAGCTCAATGTATCGCATACATGCATTGAAAAAAAATGAAAAACCCTTGGTTATGTCAAGAAACTTGATTTATGGATCCCTCACCAGTTAAAGGAAATTCATTTGACGCAACGGATTAGCATCTGTGATTCGCCGCTACTGAAACGCAATGAGAATGATCCATTTCTGAAGAACCTAGTTACTGGCGGCGAATAGTGGATAGTTTATAACAATGTTACTCGCAAGAGATCAAGGGTAAAGCAAGAGCAACTAGCCCAAACTGTATCAAAAGCAAAGATTCACCAAAAAAAAAATTATGTTGTCAGTGTGGTGGGATCACAAAGGAATTTTGTATTTTGAACTCATGCCGCAGAACCAAACGATAAATTCAAATGTGTATGTTGAAGAACTCGAAAAACTGAAGGATGCAATTGAAGATAAGCGGCCGACTGCATTATCAAATCGGAAGGGTGTTGTTTTCCATCATGATAACGCAAGGCCCCCTCCCCACACATCTTTGGTTACTCGGCAAAAATTATTGGAACTGGGTTGGGATGTTTTGTTACACCCACCATATAGCCCTGACCTTGCGCCTTCGGATTACCATTTGTTTCGTTCCATGCAAAACTCGTTAAATGTTAAATTTTTAACAACACGGATGATGTCGGATCACACCTAATTCAGTTTTTTAATAGCAAAGACCAGACATTTTACGAACAGGGAATTTTACTCTCCCAGAACGATGGAAAAAGGTCATCGACAAGAACGGCCAATATCTAATTGAATAAAGTTATATTTTTTAACAGAATCTATATTCCTTAGTAAATACTTTTGTTCCGTTATTTCTATATATATATATATATATATATATATATTTCACGGAAATAGATTTACGGAACAGGAAACCAACAGTTTTACGAGTGCATCAGCAGAAAATTTGAGGAAATCAAATGATGAAGAATTAATTATAGGTAATAAGTACGGCTACTGTGTTTTGGAGTTTTTCACGGTCTTTTCACCAATTTCTTTGTTTGTTTCGTGCACTACATACAACAACGAGATTAGATTTTCAAGAACGGCTCAACGCGGACTCGGGTTCAAAAGTGCATTACAATGCAGTTTCAATAGTCTACGCTACATTCCATCATGTCCTCAATGCAGTTTCAATAGTCTACGCTACATTCCATCATGTCCATTCGTTGACAAATCTTTCGAAGATAATCATCAGATGAGTTATTAATTCGATGTTTGGGTTCAGAAACTCAAAATAATAATGAATCTCTAAACTCGCTGATATGGACTTTTGCTCCAAAGCATACCCATTACGGGTCTCAGATCATTGAAATTGCAACATTTATTTCTGTGTGTATTTTTAACAAAGGTTTTATACTGATAATGAAGATGATGATGATTATGGGAGTGAAAATTGGTCCAGAAGTTCATGCATTTGCTATCAGACGAGACCACGCCTGAATCGAACGCTCCGAGATACGAGCACCAGCGCATCAAAGGAGGCCAGAACTGATCGAATAGAAAACAGAAACGCCGAAAATAGTTTTTTCGAAGTTAAGGAAGGTCCGATGTATGCAACAGGAATGGCAGATTGAATAAATGTAAGTTAAAAACATAATTTTATGACTTAGACTGCACAATATTTTACTTGAGACTTTAAACGCGTTTTTCTCAGAA